ATCGCCAGGCTGGAGCCTGCACCCCTCACCCAAACTCCATCTCAGATCAGGCACCCCACACCCCAAACCCCTGCCCCAGCCCAGAGCCTGCACCCAAACTCCCTTCCAGAGTCCACACCCCGCACCCCCTCCCGCACCCAAACTCCTTCCCTGAGCCCAAACCCCACAACCACTCCTGCACCCCAACCACCTATCCCAGTCTGGTGAAAGTGAGTGAGGGTGGGGGAGAGTGAGAAATGGAGGGAGGGGGGATGGAGTGAGCAGGGGGTGGAGCCTCGGAGAAGGGGGGCAGAGGTGTGGCCTCAGGGAAGGGGTGGGGAAGGGAGCAGGGCAAGGGCTGAGCATGGCTCAACCCTGCCCTTTGGCCCAGTTAGCACAAGACTAATGGCTAGGCCCCTCTTTTCAAGGTTTTCTACTCTCATTTGCCATATTTCTCCCTAACTACTGGATTAAGAATTTCTTTTTAAACAAACGTACGTAATTATTTACTGCACCTGGTTCCAATTAACCAGTTTTTCTTTCTTTTTATTATGTCAACCCAAACCTTATTCACCCACGAAAGCTCATGCTCCAATACGTCTCTTAGTCTATAAGGTGCCACAGGACTCTTTGCTGCTTTTACAGATCTAGACTAACACAGCTACCCCTTTGATGCTTAAATAAGATAACGCTGGTAATTCAAGGGTCACTACAAGCCAGCCCTGATGGAGTGTTCCCCAAAGTGGGGGGGCCAGGAACCCCGCCCCTCTGTGTCCCTACCTCTGCCCCTTGCACCCGAGGCCTTGGGCCCGGTTAAGTTGGAGCGGGCTGGGAGCCATGGACCTTCAAACTGCCCATGGTAGGGGGACCAAGAGCAGCCCCCTGCCTATGGGCCTCCCACCCAGGGCAGGTGGAGGGTTCACGGCTCCCCACAGCTGCCTGTGCGGCTCTTACCCTGACCCGGCTCCAGCCGGGGTATGGGGCCGCAGAGCCGCAGCCCGGTCATGGTAAGAGCCATACAGCCAGGCAGCTGTTAGCAGCTGCAAACCCTCCACCTGCCCTGGGCGGGGGGGCGGGGCAGGGGTAGGGACACAGGCCGGGCTGCTCTCTGCCTCCCCCCACCCTGGGCAGGTGGAGGGTCCATGGTGCAGCACCCCCTGCTGCCCGGGCTCCCCGGCCAGGCTCCAGTTGTCAGCCTGGCCGGGGGGCAGGGCCTTGGGGGGAAGAGGATGGGCCAGGGGCCCATGGCGAATAGTGGACGGACCAACGGACCATGACTCCCCCCCACCCTGACCCCTGCATTACGCCACCAATGCTACAAACTTAACACAAACTACCCCTTTCTTTCTCATGATGTCATTCGTTTTGGTCACGTTTTGGGCCTATTGCTTATCAACAGGAGCAAGAATGGGGGTCGCAGTGGGTAGGGGAGTAGCATGCTGTGCCCTGTCCCAGGGGTGTTCCCAGCACAGAGGCTCTGGCGTTTTAATGGCAGATTAACCATTAAGTAGGTGCTGCCCGCCTGCTGTGACCTCCTTGAAACCCCTCTCCCTTTCTTTTAATCCCTGATCACCTATCCCGACCCTCAGGCTTTCTGTTTGTAACTATTGCTGTTTCCACAGTTGTACTTCACAGAACACCGAAACTCCTGGGCCAAGGCCTTGGCTTGGCTGTTGGTCAAAGCGCTGCACATCAAGAATAAGGAAACTCCTTTCTCTGACTTTCTCTGACTTCAATGTGTGAGTGTGACATCAAGTTTCAGGCCCTTAACCTGAGAGATCTCTCTAATGGGGATAGATTCCCACCCCCACACACACATACTTCCACCCTGCTGCTCCGGTGGCTTATAAATAGGCTTCATAGAATTCAGTTTTTAGTTTCTTATAACTTTGATGGGTAATATCGACTGTTTGTTTTTAAGCTCTTTGGTATTTTTATAAATTTTAATTTTCACCAGTTGTGGGAAATTATGGTGGAGAGGTCAGATAATTTTTTAATGACAGTAGAAGTTGAGATTCAAAGAGTTCAAGTTTTTATACACAGAGAGACAAGGTGGGTGAGGTAATATCTTTGTTTGGGGCAACGTTGGTTGGGGAGTGAAAGAGACAAGCTTTTGAGCTTCACAGAGCTCATAGGCCCTCAGACCTGGAGAAGAGCCCCGTGGAGCTCGATAGCTTGTCTCTTTCACCAACAGAAGTTGGTCCAATAAAAGATATCACCTCCCTCACCTTGTGGCTCTCATATCCTGGGACCAACAGAACTACAACAACTCCAAAAAACCACAAGGTGTCAATTTCTTATGTCAAGAAATACAAAATAAATATCCTAAAACCAGAAATGATTTGTTGAGTTAACTATTCATTCACTAGTCCATTTGTAACAAGCCTAATTCAGAGTCTAAATCACTGGATTTTGACTCTAAGACTATGTCTACACTTTTGTCAGTACAACTTATGTTGCTCACGGGTGTGAAAAAAACACATCCCAGTGCAACATACGTTTCACTGACAGACGCGCCAGTGTGGACAGCGCTATATTGGCAGGAGAGCTTCTCCCACCAACGTTGCTACCGCCGCTCGTTGGAGGTGGTTTAATTATGTCGCTGGGAGAGCTCTCTCATCGGCATTGAGTGGCTACACGAGCGATCATACATGGGGGCAGCTGCATCCGTATAGCTGTGCCGCGGTAAGCTCGCTAGTGTAGACATGGCCTAACAAGTTCTCAAGCAGCATTTTTCTTGCTTTCTCTCTCTGTACATTTCAATTATGATCGATGAAAATATTTTTGTGGGTTTGTGTGTGTACAGTAAAATCAACAGCTAATTTTTAAGTTATCTGCAAAAAACCTAGAGTTTTTGGGTGCCGAAGTTATCTTAGGCTTGGTCTACACTACCCCCCTAATTCGAACTAAGGTACGCAACTAAGTTCGAAGTACCTTAGTTCGAATTAGTTCGAACTTACCTTGGTCCACACTCGGCAGGCAGGCTCCCCCGTCGACTCCGCGGTACTCCTCTCGCCGAGCTGGAGTACCACAGTCGACGGCGAGCACTTCCGGGTTCGACTTATCGCGTCCAGACTAGACGCGATAAGTCGAACCCAGAAGTTCGATTTCCAGCCGTCGAACTAGCGGGTAAGTGTAGCCAAGGCCTTAGATAACAGCCTGTCCAAGTCTTCAATAAACATTGAATTAAAAAAGAAAAGAATGAAAAATATTTTGGATAGGAAGAGCTAACACCTCCCTTCAGACTCTTCCGGTGGAATTTGGCTAAGAGCTGAACACAAAAAGGGCTGTACAATGGGAATGTTTATCTGGTAGGTGCTTCAAAGCGCCAAATAAGGATTTACAAAGCTCTTCTGACTTCTGGACTGTGGTAAATGGATTGTCAAAAGGGACCATTTTGGGAAGCCACATGTGGGGCCCAATCCTGCATTCCTTGCACCCTCAAAACCACCATTAACTGATTTAATAGGGGTGTAGTGACAGCGGAAAGGCCCCTTGATGGAAAATCCTGGTTATTTGTCAGGTGCATAGTTCACATAGATGAGGTCATCTCTTTCATCTTCCTCAGACCATGTGCCCGATTCCCCTTCTGCTAATACAGGGAGGTGAAATCACACCTCGGCTGCAGCACCCCAGAGGGGATTCGCTGCCGCCCTCTCTCAGGGATTCTATTTAGGGTAGCAGCTTTTTATTTTGCCAGAGGCTGCACAGGAGTCCGGATGTCCCAGAGACGTGCTGGCTGGCTGTAGATCCCGGCCTGACGCAAACCTCCTCACTGGACCTTCTGCTGCAGCCACCTTGTGCAGTGCTTAATTTGTGCTGGGCCTTTAATTACAAATTAAGCCCTGGGTGGAGGCAGTGGGGCCCAGGCCAATGTGGGGGCAGGAGCCCAGGGTGCCATTTTCCCTAAGGCCTGTCCTGGCTCTGACCAAGTCTATAGTTAGGAAAAAGAGTCCAATATTTTTGAAATCTTTGAGATACAAGAGTAAGGGTATGTCTACACTATGAAATTAGGTCGATTTCATAGAAGTCGATTTTTTAGAAATTGATTTGATACGGTCGATTGTGTGTGTCCCCACTAAGCGCATTAAGTCGGCGGAGTGCGTCCACAGTACCGAGGCTAGCGTCGACTTTCGGAGCGTTGCACTGTGGGTAGCTACCCCACAGTTCCCGCAGTCTCTGCCGCCCATTGGATTTCTGGGTTGAGCTCCCAGTGCCTGATGGGGCAAAAACATTGTTGCAGGTGGTTTTGGGTACGTGTTGTCAGGTCCCCCTCCCTCCATGAAAGCAATGGCAAAAAATCGTTTCTTGCGTTTTTTCCTGGGTTACCCATGCAGACGACATACCACAGCAAGCATGGAGCCCGCTCAGCTCACCGTCACTGTACATCTCCTGGTTGCTGCTGGCAGATGCGGTACTGCATTGCTACACAGCAGCAGGTCCTTGCCTTCGCGGCAGCAGACAGTGCAGCATGACTGCTAGCCGTCGTCTCCTGGGTGCTCCTGGCTGACCTCAGTGAGGTCAGTCAGGGGCACCTGGACTGAAATGGGAGTGACTCCAGGTCATTCTCTTCTTTAAGTTTTGTCTCATGGAGATTCAGCCCTGCCTGGAATATCATGCGAGCTGGAGGCTTCTGCCTCAGGCTGCTCTCCCAGTCGGCAGCACCGTGCGGTCGCACCTACCCCAGCCTACCCCTTGCTCCCATGGCTCATGAAGCCTGGACAGTAGTAAGGAGCAGTTCAACTATAGGCTGAGCAAGTGCAGAATGGTGGCAGAATGTGCCTTTGGACGTTTAAAAGCTCGCTGGCGCTGTTTGCTGACTAGGCTGTTTGCGATTAGAAGAGCACAGCAAGGCGCGCGGCGCATCACAGAGGCTTTGAAAACCAGACATGACCCAACATAGAGTTCAGCAGGGCAAAACCTGGGTAAAAATGTACGTCTCAGAAATACAGTAAGGGCCACATCTTCAGCTGGTGCCTATCACCATAGTGCCTCTTACTTTAATGGAGCAATGCCAGCTTACACACGCTGAAGCTCTGGTCCTTAGGTCCTACCAGCTTCACATTTGTGATCCTTTGTTTCTCTTTGTTTTCTAAATGCCATGCTTTAGTCTTAGGAGAGACTCACAATTCCTCTGATCAGCAAATGCTACACCATGGAGCCTGAAATGAGGAAGAGACCATCTAAAATGGTCTAAAAAAAGTTCCCATTTCCTCAAGGGCCTCACTGGAGCCCACAATTTCCATCTGGTTTATTTCTAATGGGATAGCTTCCCAGTCGCAGCATTCAGCACCACTGCCCTACTTTGGAGAACATGCGGACCACCTTTTCCCAAATTAGCTTAGTTTTCACTGCATAGACGATGGGGTTTAACATGGGTGGAAGGAGCACATAGAGATTGGCCAGTAGGATGTGAACGTTGTGGGGGACGTTGTGGCCAAACCGATGTGTGAAAAAGGTGAAGAACGCTGGCACATAAAACATGACTATGACACAGATGTGGGAGCTGCAGGTCCCAATAGCTTTGAGCCGGGCGTCCTTGGACGGGAGCCTAAAGACAGCCCTGAGGATGAGAACATAAGACACAACAATGAGCACAACGTCCAGTCCTGGTGATAAAAGAGTTGTAGTAAAACCGTACCAGATGTTGACAGCTATGTCGGCACAGGCCAGCCGGGCTATGCCCATGTGCTCACAGTACGTGTGAGGCATAATGTTGTGTCCACAGTACGGTAGCCTCCAAAGGAGAAAAAGTGTTGGGAACATTACGCAAAAGCTTCTAGCTAGAGCTGCCAGCCCTATTTTGGCTATCACTGAATGTGTTAGCACAGTCGTGTACCTCAAGGGATCACATATGGCAATATACCGATCATACGCCATGGCCAGCAGGATCGTTGACTCCGCAATAAAACTAATATGTGTAAAGAGCATCTGGGTCAGGCAGGCATCAAAAGAGATTTCCTTGGAACGTGCCCAGAATATGCTCAGAGTTTTGGGCACTGTAGAGGAAGACAATATTAGATCAGAGACGGCCAGCATGGCCAGCAAAAGGTACATGGGCTCGTGGAGGCTTCGCTCCGTTACAATGACAAATAATAAGGTAAAATTTCCGAAAAGTGTGACGATGTACATCAGGCTGAATGGGATGGAGATCCAGATGTGCAGCTCCTCCATGCCTGGGATGCCAGTCAGGAAGAAGGAGGCAGGATGAAAGCTGGTTTGATTGAGAGCTGACATGATGTGACGAGGCTTCCTGTCTGAATTTACCCAGAGTCCCTTCCCTGTAGACAAAGAAAATATCATATGCCATCAATAATGTAGAAGTACTTTGGATTTCTATAGCACCTTTCCTCTGGGGATCTGTGACAAAGTGGGAATGTTCTTAATGTTTTCTTTGAATACTGCGTGCCTCAGTTTCCCCCATGTGTTACTCAAGTATCTAGGTGGTGGGACAGGGGTGTGTGATCGTTGCAGAGACGCCTAGAGGGCAGGTGTGACTGCCGATTGGCTGCTTTGGCACAGACAATGTCTGACACTCTGTATCCTGGCAACCGATAGCCAGAGCCCATCCTCTGCAGGGAGCCAGCCGAAGCCAGGTGACCTGTTTGCCCAGGAAAGATACAAAGCATGGAGGTGGGGCGGCTGGGCTGCAGGAAGCGAGCCAGTCTCCTGGTTTGGGACTCGGGGGCAGAACCCAGGGCTCTGGTCTCTGGACTCCCCCTCCAAGATGGACTTTGCTGTAACTTCCTGCTTTTTGTGCTACCAAGATCTGTTCTATGCTGTGTTCCCAATGACTCATTAACCCTTCTGTTTTAGAATGCTGTCTGGGTCACTGCTGACTGCAAAGTCGGTGTGCAGGGCCCCTTTGGGGGCATGTGAGGCTTCCCCAGGTGTCCCATTCAGGTGGACTTGCTGCAGGAAGCTCACGGGGTGACACGGGGCTGAACGCTCCGAGATTAGATCCAGGAGGTACCAAAGTGGAGCGGGCTTCTTGCCCTGGTGACAGGGGCCCTGAGGGGAGACGCTGCACCAGAGTCCTGTTTGACTTCATTCAGAGCGGTGCCAGAGCACCCAGCCTGTCACTCCGTGACAGGATCCCAAAGTGATTTACAAATATCATCAACCCACATCTGAGTTGAGGAGCCATCGATATAGACATTTTCACTCTATAAAGTAATAAAGGCAATGCAAATAAGTGGGTAAGGAATGGTGTCCCTAACCTCTGTTTGTCAGAGGAAGGAGATGGATGGCAGGAGAGAGATCACTTGATCACTGCCTGTTAGGTTCACTCCCTCTGGGGCACCTGGCATTGGCCACTGTCGGTAGACAGGATACTGGGCTAGATGGACCTTTGGTCTGACCCAGTACGGCCGTTCTTATGTTCTTATAAGTGCATTTTACAGATCGGGAAATTGAAGTACAGAGAAGATAATTGACTTGCCAAGTGCACCGAGCAAATCAGTACTAGAGCGCAGAATAGAACCCAGGAGTCCTGACAGTTCCCTGCTCTAACCAGAGCTGCTATTATTATTATGAATTTGTTTTCTAGCACCCAAAAGTCTACCTGGCAGGGGGCAGAAGATGATTACATCATAGTGGTGCATTGGGACTGATTGCTATTTACTGTGCATAACATGATAATTCTACTGGTACCGATTCATCCACCCACCCCCTTTTGACTCATTTTTTGTCTGTTTCTTCTGCCTCTCGTGCCTTATCTTTGTCCCAGAGGGTGAGCCCTTTGAGGCAGGGACTGTGCTTGTGGCCTGATCATTGATTGGCACCTCTCGGCACTGCTGTAATACAAATGATGACCGTAATGCAAGGCTCCTTACAGTACATATAGCAGACAAGGACCCTGCCCTACAGAGCTTGCAGTCTCAGACACCAAACGTGTAAAGACCACAAACAGAGGGGGAAATAGCTGAACTTTGAGGGCCAAATTCAGAAGCCGAGGTGTAAGGCAGTGTAAATCTGATGAGAGGTGTAAGTTACACTGCTCAGGCAAAGTAATTCAGGGGCTTAACATTTGCCCACCCACAGTTTGTGCAGTAGAGGTTTGAACAGCAGCCAGCTGGCTAAAGGGCTGCCTGGCGGTTTGCATTACTGCCCTGGAGTGCTCGGCAGTGCTTTGCATGCCATTGGTGCAGCTGTAACCCACACACCTTCTGGGTGTGGTGCTTTGTCCCGTCTAGTGGCACCGAGACCACTTAGCGAGAGTCAAAATGAGTCTGCTCGACAGCCTTAGCTAACGGCAAGTTGGCTTTTAGCTCATGCTGTAGAGACTCATGCACTGAACTCCGGAGGTCCCTGATTCGATCCTGGATCTGTCTGTCTGCATTCCCCAGACAGTTCTACCTTTCATTTAATCTGCCCCTTGCATTTCATAACTTCCTGCCCGGCCTCTGAATTTGCTTCTGTATATGACACTGGCTTGTGACCAAGCCTGTATATGACACTGGCTAAGTGTGTGTCACATTCCCTTCTAGTGGCTGGTCCGCTGCAGGATACGAGCCTACTATTGGTCCCACCTAAGGCTACATCTACACTACAGGGGGGAGTCGATTTAAGATACGCAAATTCAGCTACGTGAATAGCGTAGCTGAATTCGACGTATCGCAGCCGACTTACCCCGCTGTGAGGACCGCCGCAAAATCGACCTCCGCGGCTTCCTGTCAACGGCGCTTACTCCCACCTCCGCTGGTGGAGTAAGAGCGTCGATTTGGGGATTGATTGTTGCGTCCCATCCCCGAGAGGTCGATTTCTACCCGCCAATTCAGGCGGGTAGTGTAGACCTAGCCTAACAGAGTTACCTCTTCACTTCAGATGGTAACCGTTCTGATGAGCCAGGCTAGGAGGTGTTACACCTACTTTCCTTTAATCCACACTCCAGTCCTTTTCGGTCTTGTCTACACAGGGGAGTTCATTTGCACTGAGTTTGTTCACATTAAGTGGTGCATATTAGATAGTACACTGACTGTGTGCACACTGTCAACTGTTTTCTTATTCAGTATGTATCGGTGCATCTAGATGGCTGGGCAGCATAAATGCTCAGCATTCTGGGTGAGTATCCCATGGTGCTTTGCTTCACTGCTGGGCTCTATGTATTCTGGGACTTTTCTCTTTGCACGTTGTGGGATTCATAGCAGCAGTTTGCCAGAAGGGAGTGGAAACCTTAGACCTCCTTCCACCTGCTTTGCCAGTTGTTTGCACTGTCCCACATGGTTGCATGCACTTCTCTAAAAATAGCAAAACCACTAATGTGGACAATATTTAAATAAACTAACAAGTTCTGGTGATTAAAAACTGGAGTATAGAGAGATTTAGGGACTCACCCAAGGCCACACAGGATGTTAGTGGCAGAGTCCTGACTAGTGCTCAGGCAGTCCAGGCTCCAAGTCCCTTGTCTATCAATCAGAGCAAGAGACTCTGCGGCTATTTGTGTTGCATTGAAAGAAATATCCTATTCCTATCCTAACTTTACTTTGAGGACAAAAAACAAACAAACAGATGGTGTGGTCACATTATATGGTAACACTCTTTCCATTCCACTAGAATCTCAGGAGGACATTAAACAGCAGATGCTAACCACAGAAATGTTTAAATCAACAGCTTCACATAACTTGCCATCAAGAGTTTTAAAAAAGTTGGCTGAGGAGTTCACTGGACCATTAATATTGATTTTCAAGATGTCTTGGAACGCCAGGGAATTTCCAGAAGACTGGAAGAAAGCGAATGTTGTGACAATATTTAAAAAGGGTAAATGAGATGACGGGGTAATTATAGGCTTGTAGGTCTGTGTAGCAGGGTGCTGGTGCAGAGGCACCTAATTAGCCCCTGCTCAGCCAGCCCCAATCAGGGGAAATAGATTGGGGCTGGGGAGAAGTCTGGTGCCTGGCCTTTAGAACTGGCTGCACCTGTGGGCCTGAGGGCTATAAAGGCCGGCTGGCAGCCAGAAGGAAGGGGGATGTCCAGGGGAAGGGCAGTCTCAGGGCTGGCTCTGGGTGGAAGTGGAGATCGTAAGGCCTGCAAACTATATATAGTATGTCACTGGTGGTGGGAGAAGTCTGTAAATAAAGCCACGGGTGCTGCAGAAGAAAAAGCCTCTCTGTGCTTTATTGGGGCAGCCAGTGGGCCCCAGGAAGAAGGCCGGGCAGAGGACTTGTTACAGTCTGACATAGATCCTGGGTGAGATAATGGAGCAGCTGATATGGGAGTCAATTAATAAAGGAGTTTAATATAATTAATGTCAATCAACATGGGTTTACCGAAAACAGATCCTGTCGAACTAACTTGATATTTTTTTTTTGAGTTGGGTTGATAAAGGTAATAACGTTAACGCAATAGACTTAGACTTCTGTAAGTCATTTGGCTTGATACTTCATGACATTTTGATTAAAAAACTAGAAAGATCTAAATTGAACATGGCACACTTCAAGTGACTAAAAACCTGCTGAACAAATAGGTCTCCAAATGTAATGTAAACAGGGAATCGTCATCGAATGGGTATGTTTCTAGTGGAATCCCACAGGGATCAGTTTTTGGCCCTATGCTATTTCATATTTTTATCAATGGCCTGAAAGAAAACCTAAAATCATCGCTGATAAAGTTGGCAGATGATACAGCGATTGGGTAAATAACGAAGAGGTCAGGTCAATGATATAGGCTGATTTGGATCGCTTGGTGAGCTGAGCGCAAGCAAACGCTAGATGTAAATGTATCTATCTAGTAACACAGCAGGCAGGCCGTACTTACAGGATGTGGGACTCTCTGCTGGCAAGCAGTGACTCTGAAAAAGATTTGGGGGTCGTGGTGGATAATCAGCTGACCATGAGCTCCCACTGCAACGCTGTGGCCAAAAGGACAAATGCAATTCTAGGATGCATAAATGGGAATCTAGATTAGGAGCAGAGAGGTTATTTTACCTCTTGTATTTGGCACTGGTGCAACAGCTGCTGGAATCCTGTGTCCAGTTCTGGTACCACAGTTTAAGCAGGATGTCGATACATTGGAAAGGGTTCAGAGCAAAGCCACATGAATGATTAAAGGATTAGAAAACCTGCCTTATAGTGATAGACTTACGGAGCTTGATCTAGTTAGCTCAGTGGTTCTCAAACTATGGAGCAGGCTGCGGGAACGTGTCAAGGGAGGAGCAAGCTCTGTGGGTTGTTTTTATAGCTCTGGCTTTCAGCCCTGGGTGGCTGGGGCTCATGCACAACCAGGAGGTGGGGATGAAGGGGACAAACAGAGCCCCACTACCCGGGTTCTGGCTCTT